GGTAAGCGGAAGGAGTCCTTTTGCTCAGCTTTTTTCTTGAAGCTTTTTTAAATTAATGTGACGGTTGATAAATTTCCTCACTTCAGTTAGATTGAGTGTTCGATATTCGCAAAACCAATCTCCTTTTATGAAAAAAATTCTCGGAGGAAGTATTCGCTGAGTAAACTCCCCATTTCATATTTACTACTTACAGTACCAGTACATGCTCCACCAATGCCAACAAGGAACGATACAGCTAGATATGGAGCTGAAAGTATCGCAATTCGTTGGGACACTGAGCCGGCTAGGGAGGACGATGATGCACCGGTGCGATTCGTGCAGGTTTGTTTTTTTCTTTGTAATGGATTGGACTTTTGTTTGGATACAAATTTTCTGCCTCTAAAAACGTGTCTGAACCAAGCAATTTTCAAAGGATATACAGCAGAGGAAAACTAATAAGGAAACTTACTAAAGAGGCCCCTTTGTTCTACTTTGTAAAAGGTGACAGCTATCATAACATCTCCAACAATACTCTCGATAAGGGGTGACTTTTGGTAATAAATTTAAGGGAATAAACATAAGTACAAATTCTTTTTCCACGCGATGTTCTGCTCATCACCACATCGTCACAGCACATCATGACTTACTAAAGAGGCCCCTTTGCAATTCTCTCAACCCAGATTGGTTTTACCAGCAATGTTACAGTTACATATCTTGTTTTAAAGGTGGAATACCAAAAATCCAATCGTGACGACTGGACCCCTGTAGAGAAACTCATTTCTGGGCAAGACGGGGGCGCTGTTATTCTAAGGTTTGCTGTGCAATTTTTGTGTCTTCCCATATTTTTCACCTAAACTTTGCATCTACCGCATTCAATTGTTAGACTTGTGCCAAATTCTGACTACCGATTCCGAATTCGCTATCTTGGTGACAACTCTCAATCTGTTTGGTCAGCAGAATCCGACTGGATGAAAACGCTTCCAGCGCAGCCTTCAGCCGCGCCAGCCTCACTGACGGCATCACCTTATGACTCAACTAGCTTGCTTTTGCAATGGAATTCTCCGCTGAGGTATGTCTGACACGTTTGATGGTCGTTGCCTACTGAAACAAATTTTTTTACGTCTACTCTATGCCTGATTCTTTATTCTTTATAAGTCAAAGTCATTTTTGATCCATTGATGACCGTGCATTATTAACGTTCTGGACGTGCCACCAAAATGTGACAGCCTGGGTCGGTGGTCGTTAATGGGTTGAATAAAACTGCCCGCACTTCTCATGATTTCTCCATATGCCACACAAATTATGAGTTTTTTTCAGGGAAGCGTGGAATGCAGATGCTATCGGTTACTGGGTTGCTTTTCGTGAATATCCACTCTCT